CCACTGTATGCTCTAAAGAAAAAAATTATCTCTGCAGTTAATCAACAGTCCTAATGAAACTTACAGAATTAGCACAGGTGAAGAAAAAAAAAAATCAATGCTCAGTGAGAAGTCCTGTTCAGTGCGTTCCATAACATCTCAGCACATGCAGAGGGAACCTCTGTTATTTAGGTTCAGTATAGCCATGTAGAACAGTAGTTCAGAATTATGATAATTTTATTTGCAATAAACAAACTCAAGCATTTGGGGGTAGTGAGAATTAAGACACCTCACAGCAACATTAGATACTCTCACTGTTAAAACGCAATGCATTTTGTCTTGCTTGAGCTTTCACACCTGCACTGAGTTAGTGTAAAGTTCGGGCAAAGTCCTGTAGGAATTTCAGTCCACCTCAGATAGGTCCTCTCTTAAACCCTTCTGCAAAAGTAGATCAAAGTGTTTAAGGTTTTTCTAGCTATTATGTATCCAAGAAACTGATTGAAGGCACAGGCCAGAACTGGACACCAGGTTCACTAAGTCCTAGCAAGGCTCTGTGTTGAGCCTCCTGTGTATTTCTGTAGATTATCCAGTCGCACTTAAAAGAATCATATGAATTCTCTTTGCATCTGCATTATCTTCATTCATCAGGGTTTTATACAGCAAATGTAGGCCATAGAATGAATTTACTAGCAGTGAATTGCTGCCCTACATCTTCAAACAAAAGTGTTCATTGAAGTAACCTGTGAACATCAGAGTGATAGACATTTAATATTTCTCATTAGATTTTGAAAGAAACTTACTTTAAAAATTATGTTCTATGAAAGCTCTTATTTAATTTAAAAAAACAAGAATAGATGGTGACAAATCACACTAGGTATTTAATTTTACTGACATTATACAGTAGCAGCAGGGAAGCATCATATAACTACAACATGAAGCTGTGTGCCTGCCAACATCGTATTAGTTTCTGCTTCTAAGTCTGCACCTGTTTAATTTCCTTCATTCACTGAAGTATGATTCACCATTCTCACAGACAGGTGAATGATACAAATTGCGCTCATTCTAACTTACACAAAAGTGTGAGAAAAGATCCCTTGCATTTTCTTAAGTTAGCTCAGCAACAAGGGATCACTGGGAAAAAAAACCACATTAAAAACCATTACTGTTGTAGCATGTCTGAAAACAGGAATACATAGAAAAGCTAGGAGGATCATAATGAAAATTAGGACAAAAACAAAGCAAAGTGCTCCATGACACCAAGAATGCCTCTCCCAGACAAAAAGTGACAGGACAGGAGGAAACAGCCTCAAGGTGTGCCAGGGGAGGTTCAGGTTGGACATTAGGAGGAATTTCTTCATGGAAAGGGTTGCCAGGCATTGGAAGGGGCTGCCCAGGCAGGTGGTGGTGTCATCATCCCTGGAAGTGTTCAAGAAATGACTGGCCATGGCACTCAATGCTCTGATCTAGTTGACAAGGTGGTGATTGGTCACAGGTTGGACTTGATAACCTTGGAGGTCTTTTCCAACCTTAATGATTTTGTGATACTCCCTCCATATATTACTGCTCAGAGTACAGTCAAAAAAGCATGAAAACAAACACTTATTTATATAGAGCAGTGCACTTCCCCCTTGCATTTTGTAGGAGTCAGTATCTGCTACACCATCTGTGTGAGAACTCAAGACATCACTGCAAATATGTATCATCATTCAAGAGAATTTTAACCTAGGAATGTAACCCCTCAGCTGTGATCATGGAAGTTTTTGGGCAAAGATCTTCATCACTCTCACTTGTTTCAGACTGCATTTGCATTAGTTTTCAGATTTACAGCACCCACACTAATTAATTCAAGCTGTATCCAGGAAAAACTGCCGTTGGGTATGTCACAGGCTACAGGGGGTCTCTAAGACACTCTTTAAATAATTTTTAAAAATAGGGAAGAGACCGATCATAGAATATTTTCACCAGTTTATACCTCTCATAACAGTAAAGTATTAATTATCTTTTAAAAGTGTGCATATAGTGCCCTTGGATGGCTTTAAGCAGTGTGCCATGCAGCACTACTGCTTCACTGCAAATCCAGCCCCAAAGGAGGAGCTTCCCCACCTTTAGAAAACAGATTTTAATATTGCAGCCATTAAAAAAAAAAAAAAAGGTAAAAAAACCCCATAGTCTCCCAGCAATTGAGACAATTTTGAACTAAAATAAACTTAGAATAATATAAGCAGCAAATACTATGCAAATACGTAGAACTGGGTTTTGCATCAATTCTTCACTTCTTCTGAAGTGCCCATCCGAATCAAAGAAGAAACCGACAGTTTGCCCAAATTATCTGTAGGAAAGCATACAACGAAGAGTGCATGTGGACTATTACTCATTATAAAACAGCTTTGAAAGTCAGTTTGCTTCAGTTCTATTTTAGACTACAATACAGAATTTGATAGGGTAGTGAAGACTACCAAACAATTAAAACCTTTGTTACTTTACCTCTTCAAAATGCAGGAAATGCCCAGTTTCCTCAGAAAATGAAGGCAGTTCGTGTGGGTTGAAATATAGTTACTAGAAAGCTTATTTCTTGCACACTTGCATCAGTAAATATCAGAACACTCCAGTGAAAGTTATCATCCTCCCTGTGCAGCCAGAGAGGCCATGCTCTACCCTAAGTACTGAACACCTGCAGTGAAGCCACGAGCAAAGGTCCCGCCTGGCGGGTGAGCTCAGTGCTGCAGGACACAATGCCACCAGCTGCCCAGGGAACAACAGTGACTCTGCCACTCAGTTCAGAAAAGCTTTACTAATTCAGACTTTTGTCTAACAAAAATTTAAATTTATAAGGATTTATTTTTACCTCACCAAGGTTGACAACATGATGAACAGAAAACCACTTCAAAGAGTGGATGACTTTAATATCAAAATACAACCAATTTATTTATATGTATGCACATGCACACGCAGACATATGCCAATACCAGTAACACTACAAACCCATTCTCAGTGGTTAGCATGGTGCAAAGGGAAATTGTTGAAACTGCATATTTAGCATTTTTATAGGGGGTAAAAAAAAAAAAGGGAGCTTCCTATTTGAACATATCCAAAGCAAGCAGATGTAAAACTGAAGTCCAAGGGTCACCATCATCCCTTGGTTTCTAACTGTTTTCCTCACAACTACTTGCCTGTGTGAAAGTGATTGAAAGAGTAAAAATGAAACAACCATCAATGCATAAAAAATGTTTCACCTAACAATTAGAAACCTCAATAGAAATAATCTCTAAATTTTACCTCTAGAAGTTAAGTTACTACAAAAGAAGTTACAAGTATGTGTTTATTTCTGAATACAGAAAAAAAGTCACTAGGAGGCAAAGTGGAGATAAGCCAAGATCAGAAGGTCCTTTCCAACTGAAACTATTCTGTGAGTCTATGATTCCAATACTGACAAAAGTATTGTGTCAGATAAGTAAAACAAAGGGACATGTTGGTGATACATACACTTCGAATCAGCGAGATCTTACAAGTAATTATCAAAAACTTTTATTTTATGTACAAATTTCATAATATCCCTGTTATGTAATGCTGAATAGTCACATCTGAATATCTGACAACTTTGAGACGTATGCTTGGAGAAGCCACTATAATTATAAAAAACCACCAGCTTATATTTTGAGACTCAGGATATATATATGGGCAGAACTTTCACATGTAGGGAATGAGAGGAGGGGGAAAGGGCTCTTGAACCTTCTGCTATCGCAATATTATTTACTACCAGGATAATACTTCATCACTATTGCGCATTTTAGTCCATCTCCTTTCCTCTTTTTTTTCTTTTTTTTTTTAAAGCCTTAGTCACTCTTCAGCAAATCATAACTTTTTGGCTTCAGTGTTTCTTTTAGGCAATGAAGTAACTATGTTCTGTAGACACGAGCAACATTTTTTGCAGTAGATTTACAGTAGCTGTGAAGAGCCATTTTAACGGCATTTTTCCAACCCGTTACTGGGGACAGATGGAACAGTTTGTAGCTGTCCCTAGATAGGCGATGAAACACAGGCACATTCTGACACAGATATTGAGGATTCTTTATCGACTACAGTGCAGTTAATCATCTGCAAAGGAAAGACCTTTGCATTACAGAGATTGGGGGTTCACTTAGAATTTCCACTTCCTCTGATGGAACAGTAGCGGCTGAAGGGTCCCAAACGTCCTGGCAATGAACACGGTCCCGAAGGGACCGGGGACATCACGCCTAGCCCGAGGTAACAGCAGACCCCGATACACGCGCGCCCGACCCGCTCCCTCCGCGGCAAAGCTGCACCGGAGACACCGGCTCGGGAGACGCGACAGCCCTCGGCGAGGCGCGGCCAGGCCAGAGCAGCCCCGGTGGAGCCGCTGCCGCTGAGTCTCGGCCCGCGGCCGCCGCTCCCACGGGGCCTGTCAGGTGCCGGGACCCCCTCCCCGAGCACGACCCCGTCTCGCCTGGGAGCGCCGCGCCCGCCGCTCACCTGGGGCTGTCGGGGGCTCTCACATGGCGGGTCCCTGGCCGGCCTGGCCCGTTCCCACCGCCGCTTCCCGCCCGCTCCCGCAACCACTCGCACCCGGAACTGATTCCGCTGGCGGCCGTTCCGCTTCCTGGTGCCTCCCCGGCAGCGGGCGGAGCCCAGCCCGGGGCCGTCCGGGGCCGGGCCGAGCCGCCCTCCCGGCGCGGCGCCTCAGGGAGGTAGGAGGATTCGTGCTGTGGCTGAATCCGGCGTGAATACGGGTAGAGCCGCTCCGAGAATTCCCACGGGGCAGCTCCAGAGAACAACACACGCTCAGAACCCCGCTGGGCATTTACAGATGCAATGAGGAAGCTTTTGAGGGAGAACATCCCCCACTCCAGTTGTGAATTACCACCTTTATTGAGCAAAGAATTAAAAAGTTCACCTGTGTTATGCTGTCCCTGTAACTCGCACAAATCACTTCAGCATACATGCACAGGGGTTTTTTGTTATCCTGCACATACTTGAGGTTCAGGTAGTGCAACGACTCAGTGTTTTACCAGACAGTTGATGTACTACTTGATAAAAGTCAGAGTGACTGGTGCAGTAGGTCCTGCTGGGATTTCCACCTGGTCTAACTTTGGACACCACATTCTGTCTTCTGAAGATATGTCTTTCTCTCCCTATAAAACACAGAACGCAGTCTTCAGAAATTGGACATTGAATGCTGATCAGATAAAGCAGCAGCCTGGGGAGCATCCTGACAAGGGCACAAATAATAGAGCTAAAGAACACACACACACAAATTGTATTTGTTCACTCACATAAAAGAAAAACAACTAATTCTGAACAGGCAGAAAACTTTGGGCTTGTTCTTACAAGCATTCAGTAAGTGTAACCAAGCAACAGAAAATTAATTTGCTTGTGCCATAGTCCATTTGATTTTACTGAAGACTGAGGAGCCTGGTACACAAATATTGCCTTCTCCAGGAATTAGCTGAACATGCTTTCAATGAGAGTGAGTTCATTTTTGCTTAGGTAGCAAGCAGCAGTTGAGATGGTTCCACAAGGGCAGAGCAGATGGAGGCTGGACAAAATCAATTTTTCAGTACAAGTATTTAAATTTAGTCATGGAGAGAAGGAATCCTCACAGGAAGATAAGGGAGACTTAGTCTTTATCCTTTTCCCAGTATGAAATTTCTTTCATACTTAGACAAGAAAAAACCAAAACCCTATATGCTATCTCTACCTACTTCAAATGTACCAGGAGGTTTTGGGGACATGCAGTTGCTGCTACTTCGTGTGTGTGTTTTGGATTTCCCTATCAGCATGTACATTCTGTATTGTAACTTCAGAGATCACCACTCTGCAAAAGACAGTTATAGCAAAACCTGTTTGATGAGTTTGAACTAGCGTGGAAACTAATTACCTAAAGCAGCAAGGAAATGGGCCCAATTCTACAAATTCATCAAACTTACTGTGTTATAAAAATCAGGTTTTAGTTTATTTTTTTCTTAGACCAGGCATGTTCTTATTATTTCAAGAAGACACATTACTAGATAAACTTTTTCTTTATATATTTAATAAAGTTATATATCAACAACTTCTGGATTTGTACTTTTCTTTGAGCACTTATTTTGGCAAAGTGAAATATTAAATACTAGTACTAGACATGCATTCCTTTCATTCAAGCTTAAGAAAACATTTACAAAGTTGACAGATAACATTTATTAAAACATGTTATACGAAAAAGGGGCATGGGACTCTTCTATAAGAAGAAAATATTGAACAGTAACATTAAATTAAAACCATGCTGTACAATTAGGACAGCAATATTTATAGACAAAACTATCCAACCTCTGCAATACAGGCATAACATCTCACAAAATATCAAGATATGCAAATTTACTATTATAAATGACTTGTTCAGAATAAAAACTTATCGCTCATTAAGGAAGATTCACTTGCATAAACAGTTACATTTCTGAAAGAAATACGGAATCCGATGAATAATAAAAAAAACAGAGCAGCAATTGACAGACACAGGCTTCAAGCAAAAATCAGAACTTACTATTTAATTACATTAAAAATATACCATTTTCTTTTCCAGCATCTTCCCCTAGGCCACTGACAGTTTACAGCTAATAGCTAAAGAAGCCAAGCTATCCAATGAAGCAACTAAATGACAAAAAAACAACTTTCCTTTATTGTTTTGAGAAAGATCCTAATTCTGTTAAAGCAAAATACTCGATATACTTCTCTAGGTCTCACAATTCAGAGACAGGTCACCTTGCTGGCACAAAGCACAAGTGTTGAGATTACGAACCCTGATGTGCTACCAGTCTTTCAGGCTCAATAATACAAGGACGTCAAGGATTCTTTTTATGAGAAACGCAATACATCAGCCTTTGATCATCTGCCTTGCTTATGATACAGAACAGTTCCTCAGCTTCAGACACACCTCAGATGAAAAAAGGTGAGATCAAAAAATGTACTAACAGTACCTTCTAGAGTCTATCTGCTCACCCATAAAAGAAGGTTAAGTTTAAAAAAATGTAACAACAAAAAAACACACCCCGAAACAACAGTGGTATCGGAAATAAGAAAGAACCTCCTCCCTCAAAAGGGTCTGATATACACCTAAGCAACCCTGCTAAACAGTTGAATTTTTCAGAATGGCAGTTACACAGATTCCATAGTAATTAACATCTGAGTTACAAAATGGAATGAAAAGGAACTTAGCTGTAATATCATCAAGTATTCTTACCACTGCTAGGACAACGAATGCCTTCACAGCAGTAGGAAATTCTGAAAGCCTCCTGTGTGTACAGTGATGCTGGTCTTCGGAGGAACTTTACTACAGCCAACAGCCACATCATTGAAGGTAATGAAGCATAAGGGAAGATTAATGAAATTCATTGTATACATATGCATTCGTATTTTTTTTTAATATATATATATATATATATATGGATCACTTCCCTCCTCCCCACAAACAAGAAATAATTTTTTGTACCTTGAACAAGACCACTCCACTAGCAAAGATTGAAGCCTTGTCAGTGTATCTTGGCTATGTACAACTGCAGTGGCACAAGTAGCAGGGGCTGCAGGGGGGATGTGTGACCAGAGCTTCTGAGCTGCCCTGTGCTAGTTAAGTGGGGTTCAGCCTGCACCAAAACAGATGTGGACAATACATTGCATGCCAAAATCTCAACCAGAGGTGCACACATTGCCTCTGCTTAAACATATTTAAGGAAGAATGGCAGCTGCTAGCAAGAGGTGCAGGAGACACATAGGGAGAAGATACTCCTGGGGACATATGGAGAAACTGAAGAGCTGCTCTTGGGAAAATACCTGGAGAAGTCACTGAGGACATGTATAGACATACTCACAGAAGGATTTGCTCTGTGTCTAAGGAGATTTGAGGACTTTGGCCTACAGCTAAGCCATGCCAGAGCAGGTATACCTCTGAAGTAACTGAGGCCCACAGGAGAGCCAGACTGGAACTGACACATCCCTGAAGGGACTGTGGCCCGGTGTCACCATGAACAGTAACACTGACCAGCCCAGAGCACCAGAGGACACCCACTAAGAAATGTAGAGCATCAGACAAGGCAGTGTGCATACGAACCTCCTGTGAGACCTGTCACCTCACTACAGGAAAGGGCAGGGGCTGAATGCAACTCTTGGTGAAAGGAAGGGAAACTGAGACTACAAAGGCAGGGAAGAGAGGTGTTAGACTTTAGCTGAGCCTGAAGAAGGGTGAGGAAAGATGAATCTTTAAGTGTTTAAGTAATTTTTTGTTATTTGTTCCCCCCAGTACCTGAAATGGTGATTAGAAGTTTATCAAAGGGCAATAAATTGAACTCAGAAAAAACACCACAAGACAACTGTTTTACCTGTGCCATGCAAAAGTAAGGATTTTAGACATGTATCTCAAGCTGCCCTTAAATCATCAATCTTCTCAACTTGATCTCATGACAATCAGATCAGTATTTTCCTGCAATCAATTGGTTTCATGTAAATTAATATCAGAAAGCCAAGTGTTTCAAGATCAGTGGAGCAACATTTGTTGGACTTTCAAGACGATGCCATAATATGGGGTAAAACAGCAATAGGCAAATACTAAAAGGTTACTATGCATGCTAAGCCATTAAAAAAGGACATGGTTCTATAATATGATCTACTGGACCTGTTATAAAACCTTTAAAGTGTCTCTCGCAGTACAATTTATTTTAAAGCTTTATTTCAAAGTAATCTAACTGCAAATAGAAGTAATGTTTAACCTTGAAATATCCCATATAAAAGTCATTCCAAGCTGGTAAAAGAAAAAGTTTTGCTGGCAGCTCTGTAGGATGGTCTGGGTTTGACAGACATATTTTTTGCTTGACCACGGTTTTCAGACTGGTGTTTCTGTCCAGCCTTTTTTATGGTTAAATGGGAAGAGGCACTCTTAACCTTTTTATGCAAAACTAAAGTGACAATTTCAAAGGGGCTGAGAACTAATGTAATATACAAGATCATTCTTGAAATGCGTATGTGAAGGAACACCCTGGACATATTCAAGGCCAGGCTGAATGGGCCTCTGAGCAACCTGGTCTAGTAGAAGGTGTCTCTGCCCACAGCAGGGACACTGGAACTAGACGATCTTCAAGGTCCCCTTCCAACCCAAACCATTCTATGATTGTGTGATTCTAATGCCTTCTCTCAAACGTGATGATGGTACTTGCAGAAATGACACCTTATATGTGGTAAGGCCTTGGAGAATGGAAAAATAGGGCCACCGAGTGCAAGAACTCTTTCCACTACACTCATGTAAACAGGCAAGGATTATAATTTTTTTTTTTTTTTTAGTATTAAAAAAGACAGTGTAAGCAGTGTGGGAACAAACCATAAAGGGAATATAATTTCTAAGTTTAAAAAAGATACTTATAAAGTTTTATGGTTTGGTTTTTTTCCGTTTAAATACAAAGTGCTTCTTTACATTAAGCAGGTTACAGTGTTAGTGAGCAAAATCCCTGTTTCGGTACCTTGATCACAAGGGTTATACATGGCCACCATAATATTTGTAGAGTTCAATTAAATGCAAAGAACAGGAACTCTGTGGTGCTGATCATTCATGCCCATTGCCAGCAATGGGTTCATTGTATTTGGGAATATGTTTTAACAAAATTCCATATGAAAAATATCTGAAGTATTAGAAGATTAAGAATTAAGAGCCTCTTAAAAAAAATTAAAGTTTGTAAGTAGAATGCCAGTAAAGAAATTACTGTAATTAAAGCCCACTGAGTAGTAAACCCTCAGCTCACAGAAGACATTCATGTTCAGGATACAGTTCAGTTGCATCTTAAGACAATTTGTAACTGGGAGTTCAAAAAAGAAACTGAAGAGTAATAATCTTTGTGTGGTTTTGCTTCACTACACAAGGTTATCTGTTTCAGTACATTATTCTGCACACTGCAGTGCCTAATACAGAAACTGGGGCCACATAGGCTCAGGCCTTCAATACTGGTTGACATTTTTCCTGTGTTATCAGCACTGTACTTGGACATCACCTCTTTCCGTTATAGCCTATGTATGCTCTAAAGGCTCTTTCCTTTTTATGTTTCGGTAAGCTACTAACAAGGGTTAATTGCTTTTGCATTGCACTGCATAAAGATTTCAACCCCAAAATCCTGTTGTCACCTTTACAACTCATGCCTTCCCTCTCCCTGCAGAGCTGGCAGCATCTCTCAGAACCGTACACGCTCCTCCATCCATCTCCACAAGCGAGAGCCCCACACATTGATACTAATCCTAACAAAGAACAAGTGCCACTTTCCCAGCAAGAATTCCAACTTAAGACATAAGTATGGTACCATGTTCTGCAGTACCATTAGAAGATCCAAATCATACTTCCTACTTTTTTTTCACAAGCAACTTCATTTGAAGAGGTAAACAACTCTGCTCGTGATCACACCTAATCAGTCACAGTAGTTTAGTACCAAGAATCTATATTATAGTTCTTACTAATCAAAGAGTAAAGAATTAAAAGTATAAATACCTACCAATGACTACATAATTTTCCTAAGGCAAGTTTCAAAAACTAGATAGAAGTTCTCAAAGAAGTTTTTGTACCAATAAAAAGTCAGTTCATGAATCCAGTTTGGTACTTGCTACTGTAGTAAGTCACAAAAATTTGAACAGAAACTACAGTTTAAGTATATGTGGTTACTTTGAGTAAGTTCCAAATGTTACATATTATTTTTTTTCCTATACTTATTACACACACTTCTAGAAGCTCTCACGATGTAGCAATTAAAATCTAATGAAGTCAAAAGTCATACAGCATTAGACCCTAGAGGAGCAAGGACAAATTATACTTAATACATACTGAAGTTTATATATTGATAAACTATATTTAAGTGCCTTACAGACCTTAAATAAAAATTAGCACAAAATTAGACATTTGTTTTACTCAAGATAATTAAAAAAATGGAAGACAGATAAAGGAAAGCCAAAGCACCTTTACCACTGCCTTGCGTTTAGCAATACAGCAAAGGCTACCAAATGATGCAGACTATCTAATGATGCATAGGAAGTACGTTGGAGTCTTCTGTCTGAGGTGAAATTTCAATTTTTTTTTATTTTTCCATTAAAAGGTGAATCGTATAACCTGGTTTGGTCATCTTAGTTCTCTACTAAGTAGTGCTACCTGGACTCCTGCTTCATCTAAGTATTTTCAGGATTTTTGTCAATTTAGAGCTGAGTTTTACTGTGAATTTAGATGACTTAGAAATACAAGAGAGCTTCTAAATACTGCTGTGATTACCATCAATGTCAGACTGCTTTTACAAGCATCTTTCAGATTAACCATTTGCACTTCACACCCTGAACACCTGGAGTACTACTGCAGAAAGCAAAATAAGTTTGATCTGTTTATACCAGCATAATCACTAAAACTTGTTTTTTGAGAACGTACAATAGCAAGTACCAGACATCATTTGCATAATTAGTTTATTTGTCTTACTCTATTAAACAGATGTAAGCACTAATGTCTTAGTTCATCTCAGTAGTACTCTGCTCAGCTTTAGAAGCTTGATAGGACTTGGTACAAGAAGTCACATGCCGATGAAAACTGTCCCGCCACATAAATCTTTTCCCACAGATGTTACACTCGTATGGTTTGATGCCTGTATGAATTTTCATATGGCCTACAAGATGGTGTTTCATTTTGAATTTCTTACCACAGACACCACAGCCATAAGGTCGAAGACCGAGGTGCATACTCATATGTCGATCTCTCTGACTTTTGTGTGTAAAACTTTTTCCGCACTGACAAGGATAGAGCTTATCAGCATGGGAGAATCCAGTGAGAGATGTTTCTTCTTTAATCCCGGCAGCCATATCAATGCCCTCACCATAGCCTGCTGCTATCATAAGGTCCTGTCTGTGAGCACTTAAATTTCCCTCTGCCCTTTCACCAGAAAATTCTTCCATGGACGAGCCATAGAAGTCAACTTGTTCATCATAATTACTTTCATCTGCATGTTCATCAAATTCTGTTTCCATCTTTTTGTCACCTATGTGAAAGTCTTCAACACCCGAAGACTGGATTGAATGATCTGCTTGAATGGCATTCATGGATTCAGAAACCTGGTGTTCATCATAAGGATTATCAACACCTTCACAGTCCTGTTCAAACCTTTCTGGTTTTACATGGATCCACCGCTTGTGAGACATGATGCTGGGTTTGCTATACATTGGTCTGGTATACTGGTACTCTGCACTATCACTAGTTCCTTCTTCCCCATCCTGACTGGTCATTCCAGTGCTAAGTCTATCATGTTCTGTTGAAGAATTACTGGGAAGGTACTCGTGTTCTGTCAGCTGACATGACAGCTCATCTTTAGAGCTTTCTTCTTCATTTTCGCCATCCCTTAGTTCCTGCACTTTGTGGAATTCTGTCTGTCCTCCAGAGCCAAGTTCAAAGGTTTCAACAAGGCCATTGTAACTACTACTGCTTGGGGACTGATGGTCACTGCCATGATTCATCTTCTGACACAGAACTGTTGGATTCCCCTCTAGCACTTCAGTGCATTTATCCACTACATGCCACATCTGAAGAAAACTTGCTGCTGTCAGATAACTGACAATTTCTGGTGCAGGCATTACCAGCCTGCCTGTGTAGGTAGACAGAAGAATGTTTTCAAATACTCTGGGATTCATCACATCAGGCAGGACTATTCGCCTGCTGTTTTTCAGGAGAACCTGATCACAGAAGTAAGGTGAACTAGCTGCAAGAACAGCTTTATGGGCTCTGAAGAGGTGGCCCTGAACCACAATGGACACGTCACATAATTGTCCTTGCTGGCGCTGTTGGTTCAACTTCTGTAAAATGGTACTAGAAAAATCTGGAAATTCCACTCGAAATGAGCTTGACCCAGACTCCATTTCATTACAAATTTAGTGTCGTGCTGCAAGTGGAAAAAAAAAAAAAAAGAAAAAATCAGAAATTCTGCTTAGTCAATTACTGACCTTTCCATTTCCTTCTACACTTCTTTAACAGACTTACATGGAACTCAACCCAACATTTTCTGGAACCTTATGTCATTGCTGTGCTTGCATTTCTCCCACACCACCTCATTTCTCTCAATCTTCTGAAAGCCATACTGAGGCCACAAATTGCTATGCCAGCACATTTTATTGTGCTTCTTCTCTCCAAGAGGACTCATCCACTACAGCAGGAGGTACAAACAGCGTGTTATCCAGTTGGGATAGACTAAGCATTTCAAGCATGAGTTTTGGATAACAAACCAATTATTTCATGAAATTATAGCAGTAGTGTTCTAACTCCAGCATATCCCAGAGTTTGTAACAGCATATGAAAGATTCTGTTATTTCAACTGCCAACAAAATAACCTCCTTGTTCCCCCAATAAACACTGACTGTACTCATGAAATATTTCACTTCAGATGAAGTTTTCAAAAGCAACTGTATCAACTCACCCCATGACAACAGTAGCACAGGCAGAACCCCACTGAGAATGATGTTTATGACCCTTCTCATGACACTTCCCTGTCATTTTATTAACTGAAAGGTGGAACAGCAACAGCTTGTACAGTTGCAGGACTATAATCCAGTTTTTAATTCCAAGCCTATCGAGATATTATTATAACATTACTTTCAGAAAAATCTTTCAGAATTTAAAATGTCATTTAGCAAAATGATATTCTGCTGTACAGAATTTTTCCTGCCTGTAAGTATTAGTAACAACACAACAACATGCCCGAACCTCAGCTAAGATTTTCAGAACACAGATTTTCACATCTGTGTTCCCACATCATCCAAACATCTCATTACAAAGTCCCTTAAGCAGTAATATAACTTTCTAAAAAGCATGATTGAACTTTTTTAATTGAATTTGAGATAAGTTTGCATGCTACTATGATTAGAAACTAAAGAAATTTAAATCCAACTATGAAAAACCAACATTACCTCCTCGAGTCAGTTGAATTTGTGCCATTTTTCTATTTGATAATGCGAAAATTGAAGGCAGCGGGGTTCCCAAAGAGCCACAGGGCACCAAATGGTATCCTCTGCCTAGTTATGTGAAGTTGCCACCCACACAATTGCAGACTACCCTTAAATCTACTGTCTTTAGCACTCCTCAGTTCTTCTCCCCAAAGCACCAATCAGGAGATCAAATCAGCTACTGATGCTTTTCTAGGGAGAAACGGAATTCTGTGCCTGCCAGTTCAATTGTTAATTTTTCATTCCACTTTGCTTAAAAGAACTCGACATTATTTTTTAAGTACTTTGAGTTACCTTATAACTTATGTACATTATGTCTACTTTTTTTTTAAACGACCAGATTTTTTTTATACAGATGTAGCTCCTTACCTCCCTTCTGAATATTCTCTGATTTCGGATTTTATTTTTCAATATTTGCCTATAAAAAGGATAAGCCTTCAGTACATGTTCAACTGAAATTTAAAGACAGATACCTGTAGAATTTATATATAATTCCTGCTAATCTACACTGCCAACTTTCAGCAAGGACTCAGCATGTCACCAGAGAAAAAAATCCAGGTGGCAGCAGACTTTCATGTATTTTAAGTTCTCATGAAAAGAAAGTGTAAGGAAAATATTTTCTATTAGCAAAGCCATAAACATCAGGAAAACTTCTTTTTTCGAAAGGGGTTTCACTTCCTCCTTCTACAGCCTGTTCTGTTTCTGCATTTTGTTTATCCCAAACTCATGAAGAATAAAATCTTTCTATTTCAACTAATAATAAAAAAATTAGTCCCCATGCTGCAGCATTGAGTGTAACATAAAAGGCACATATTAGTTGCTTTAAAACAACGTTACTCCTAAGATGCGCGGGCAGGGACTTCCTTCCCCTCTGCACACACAGACACCGATCTCTCACCCTCCCAACACCCCCGCACCGGGGACCGGCTCCAGCCAGCGGGCTCAGATAGGCCTCGGCACACCCCGCGCCCTGCTTATCGGCTCGGCCCGAGGCGGCCCCCGCGCCCCAGAGCGAGCGAGACCCGCGGCCGCCGGGGGCGGGAAGGCCTCGCGCGCCGCCCCACCCCAGAGCAGGCCTGCGGGCCGGGTCCGGCGACAGCGAGGCCTACTGGTGGCCGCGAAAGGGAGCATCTCACCTGCGAGCCGCGGCGTCTCTCGCATAGCGGGCGGTGCGGCCCCGGCGCTCGGTGCAACCCTGGCCCTGCCCGCGCCCAGCCCGGCCAGCGCCGGAAGCGGCTCCCCCTCTTCCGGCGAGCACTTCCGCGTTCCGGTCACGTGCAGCCTGACACACACGGTGCTCGAGGTGGGGTGGCGCCCCCTGGTGGAGCCGCGGGAGCGCGCAGGGGTCTGACAGACCCACTGGGCCGAGCTCTCCTCTCCCTCTCCCTCTCCCTCTCCCTTTCCCTTTCCCTTTCCCTTTCCCTTTGCTCCGCAGTTGCTATCCAGAGCGATACCCTCAGCGCTGCTGTGGGCACCGCCAGGAGGCGACCACCGGACAGCACTGCTGGAGCCCGCTGTCCGCGCCGGGCGCTGGCTCGGCCCGCGTGTTCCGAACAGCTCCTGATGTGCTGCAGCGCCGGGACTGTCCTGCAGCCCAACTGCTCCCGCGGCCACGCTGCCCGCACCTCCGTCACCCCGCCCGGGCCCGCCAGCAGAGGGCGCCGCTCCAAGCCGAGGCCGGCCCCGCGCCCGCGGCTGGTGCCCAGAGACACCCCCAATCAAACCCATACAAATTTAGCAATAAATCTGTTTAATCTTTGATTACTTTTTTTTTTTTTTAAGAAAACTGGCGATTGGGTTTTAAATTCGTCTCAAAGCCTCCAGCCAGCCCGGCTCGCAGAGCCCCCGGGCTGTGGCCTCGGCAGAGCTCCGCCCCACAGCCCGCGAGGCAGAGCCGCCCCGGCCCGCGGCCCCCGCCACCACAGAACTGCCCCCGAGACAAAACCACAGAGGGTTTCTGTGGCTGAGCTTGGGCAGGGGAACACGCTAAAATCCAGGGGGAGGAGGGAGAGCATCCCGTGCCACGGGAGCTAAGGGAGTTCTCTGAGAAGCCACCTCTGCTTTAACAAGTACTGTGTCTGAACAGAATTTGCTCTGTGTGTCTGTTTTCAAGTCTGCCAGTGCACAGTCCCAGATTAAGTCCATATCTTTCCTACATTAATGGGAACCCTAATAAAAACTTTAATACAAACACAAGAAAGCCAATTTTTAATACAACGCAATTATGTCACTGTTCTATAGTCATTATGAAAATACACTAGCAAATTAAGCACCACATAAGAATGATAAGCAGTAAGGCAAGGAAATTTTGAGAGATGAAATAGTGCACAGCTAACTGAAGTGTATGTTTTGGCCTGTGTAGAGAACACTGTGATCCCACAGTTAAAAGTGCAAGGTGTTGCAAAAAGTGAATAAAAATCCGTAGAGCACTGTGAAAGAAACAACAGAAGAGAACTCAGCCTGATCTACAGTAGCATAAACAGTAGCAGGGGCTGCCCTGGCAGCCTTTGTTGCACATTCAGGAGATGAGAGGAGAGAGGGTTCAGTAGCTCCAGATTCAGGGAGTCAAGTACTCCCTGCTGGTAGGAGCTGTTCAGGTACAGCCTCATAAGGGTCATCTAATGTCTAGTGGAACTGATTGCGTAAAGTATTTTTGTAGGAACGCATTGTGGAGTTTCTCTCCAGACCACCACAGTATTAACTCTGCACCTTGCTTGGCCTGCCAGGTAGCTTTGCTAAGCATCTGGATAGGAAAGCAATCATGTACTTTTTAAATGAGAGATTTCTGTAAAGAGTTAAAACACACACACACAGTTGAAACCTGACTAAACAAGATCCATCCTCTGGCTGTGACAGCACCACAATTCCCCAGCAAGAAGCCCACACCAGCAAATCTCACACCTTAGGAGATATTCTGACTAATGCCAGGTTCATACTGAAAACTGGGGCCTCAGCGAGAGTCTTAAAATCTCCTGCTGCCTTCCCTGATCAGTTAGTCAGGTGCTGATGATTACACACCTGCCAGACTCCTCTCCCCTCCTTGCTTTGGAGTGACCTGAGCCTCTGCAGTGTCTAATAGAAGTGCGTGGGAATGGGAAATGCCTGGTGCAGCTCTGAACTAAGGAGTAGAATTCTGAGATCATGGTGAAGAATTACAAATCAAACCCACATTTTCTTTCTCATAATTTTGGAAGTTACTAAGTTCTTTTCTCTAGATTTTTTGTCTTTATTTCTACATTTATGTAATACAGAATCTTAAACAGGATTAAAAATGAAGCATTGTCCTGTGTCCGACCTGATCCTTTGCCAGCCAGGAAGTCTTTAATTTTCTTCAACTTTAAGGAATGCATGCTTCATTGCTTCTTTTCCTAACACTCTCAGTGAAAGATTTGGAATATTATATTGGCTCAACATTTATACTGAAATAGCACTGCCAGTCCCCATTAGAGTCAGGATCCCATAGTGCTGAATAATCAATAAAAAAAGGATGTTACTGCCCAAATATTTGTTGAAAAAGAGACGCAAGACATGGCAGCTGGCTGTGGCACACTCAGTGGATGGAGTACATATGAGAAAGGCATTGTGGTGTGAGTAACATATGATTATTATTTGAAGCATAGAAAAAAATCATTCTATGTAGTTAAGAGACAGAGAGAGTTCCTTATGTTATCATTTAAGAACTTCAATAATTGTTTACTTCTCAGGTTTTGGTGAATTAACAGATACTTTTGCTACTTTTTTCTGCTTTCCTTATCCTGCATTTTCTTCAGAAAAAAAAATCTTGTTTTTAAAGATAAAATCTGTCTCAATGCCAGTTAAGATTAACCATGAGCATGGCCTAAAAAGCATTTTGGATTTCCTTCATGATCAATTCTGCAGTTGCCATGTGATAACACTGGCTCCGGGAGCAGAGCTGCAGGGTCAAGGCTAGTTTACTAAATCAAAATTTCTGTTTTACATAGGAAGCAAATGGAAACAGCATTAATTCATTTTTGTATGTTTTATTTTTTCTTGAGCTTATAAAGGTTGGATCAAATTAATTAATATAAGCAAGGATATTACCATTTTTGGCACTTTCTGGTGTTTCCAGACACCTATAAATAATGAAGCTTCAGTTAAGGATCTGTGGCCACAACAATAAGCTTATCTCTCTTCATGTTTTTTTAAGAAGAATTAACCTAATTTGGCAGAATGCCTGCCTGTTGGTTGTTCTGGCTGGCAGCAGCCTTTGGGAATGTTGCCTGGTTGTTGCTCATGAGCTGAGCCACGATGGTCACACACAGCTCCAGGACCCGCTGTGGTCAGCAGGAAGCCACAGATGGTGTCATTCCCAGAGCTTTGGATGCACCATCCTAGAAGCTTGTGCTGTAGAGGGGAACCCTTGTTTTATTCCCATGTGGCACCATCTGGCCACTCTTGACATTGAATTGAACAGTTGGAAATTTTTGGTCTTGCCTACTTTTAAACCATCCAAAAGGAAATGTAAAACATTTCCTTTTACTACTGGAAAATGGAAACACCATATTGGTACAAGAGAAATTATTTTGAAGTATCTTGCTTGCGATCTCCAAAGCCAAATACTTAAAATACTCCTTTTGTGTAATAGCACTGCCAACTTCTTAGCTCCTTAAAATGAAATACTCATTAAATTCTTTCATTGCCGAATCAAATCCTTTGTAAGTGTTTCTTAAAACTAATAAAAAAGAATAAGACACCCCAACTCCCAATTAATTTTCAGCGAAGAAAAGTCTGATTTAAAACTCTTAGTCGCTTGGCATAGATTGCTGGGCTGAGTTTGACTCTCTGTGAGTCATGAGCAAGTGTCCAGGCATGCAGTTGCACTGATGTTATTTTACATTGCTGAGAGAGAAAATTGTGCTAAAAATCAGTGTTACCTCCGTCTTTTACTAATGGAATTTGGACCCATGGCTGAACTCCTGGTAGGAAAAATCATGTGCTTCTGTGAAGTTGTGTCCTTGGGTGTGAGGTGTCAGTCATTAGATTTTTAATACAGTCACCAGATTACACATCTTGAAATAGCAAAATGACAATGCCAAAGGAGCATGTTATCATTAGTTTTTGGCAGGAAGTAGAAGCCTGCAATTATTTTAGGAAAAGTTTAGCACTTACATGCCAATCCTGAGTACTAGGTCTGATAGGAATGGTATCTAGGAGTAGGTTTCAAATCATTGACAGTTTGGAAACAGAAATCTGAGATGAGTCCATAGCTCTCATGCTTTTCTTTTTTTTCCCCCATGCACTTCTTGATCATTCTAAACTTAGAGACCATGATTTTTCTCCCTTGAATACATTTTTGTAATAGTGTGGGTTTTCTCCTCTGTACTCCCTGCTGTGATTAATTAAAATAATTTATTTTTAAGGTGGTGGGTTTCATACTTTTTCTGTTATAACAAGAAATACAATGTTCTAATAAGTCAGCTGAAAGGGAATTCGTTCTTGACATTTGACAGGCTGACATATGTCTTTCCAAAGCATATTTGTTTGGATTTTGAGATGGAGATAGTCTGTATCCCCTTGTGCTGGTAAACAAAAGATCTCTATAATTCTTGCAGTAGGGACAATAGCAGCTTTAGTTGCACAGTGATGGGGAAAAAAATGTGTTTAGTTCTGTCCCATAGTGTTCGTACACTCTGAAAGTTTGTGGTTTTGGTTAATCTTCTAAGATGACACTAGTTATATCCTGCTGTATGAGTCAGACTTTAACTACCAAACTGCTCAGAAGGGCAAACTGGTACTCGTGGATTCTGTGCAAATACATAGTAAAGTTTCCTTCTCTGGGAAACTTGGAGTTTGATGCAACAGACCCCACTCAGATAAACCTCTTGCTGATTTTCAGTGCTGGAGAACTTATCCCAGATACAAACAGGGAGGGAATTTTTTTCCTTAGTCACCTTCTTTGTCTTTTAAAAATTTCTTTCTTCAAGTCAGAAATAAAAATTGACACATCTGCAATTATGTTGGGAGGGTCATTTGCGTGTTGTCAATTTTGGTTTTATGTTTGTATAAAATTTTATATTTCAGCAGACAGACACTGTCATTAAACGCATTCTAGCACTATTGTTCAGAAATATAGCAAACCACTAATTTCCATGTTATCTTAGATTACTGAAGAATTAAAAATCCCTGAGCATTGATGGAAGTCTAGGAAATAATTGTGTATGTGTCAAATATTTGTTGTTTGCTCATAAAAAAAGGGAATGA